ATTTTCAACTCACATAAATGATAAATTTAGATTCTTGTTGTTCATTGCAAGTGGGAAAACATCAAATATGGCAGGTACTTAAAAACTGGAACCAAGCTGTGATGTAACAAGGAGGTGGGGAGGGGGAGATCACTTCCTGTTTGGCCACAAGGAGAATGTCCACTCCTCTGGATATGTTTAAACACAACAAATAAGAGTTGGCTAAAGACATTTTTACTTCAGTGGGGGCGGTGAGCCTGGCTCTCAGTGCTGGTTTTCACTCTTGCCCACACAGACTCTGTCCTGCAGGCGGTATCACTTCCAGTGACCCAAATGACTGGAACGTCAGACCCCATGGAGCTCAGCTCTACCGCGAGCAGAAGCCACCGCTCTCTTTCTCTGCACAGAGCCTTGTGAAAGTATTCATACCCCTTGTCGTACTGAAAAACACAAACTTGTGTGTGTTTTGATATAATACAAAGTACATATTTATGATCTCCATTTTGTGTAGCCAAAAAATCTTAAGATAGTTTAATTCCTTTACTAAAACTAATCTACCTTTACCATTGTGAATTGTACAACCTTTATGTACACTATTCAGCACTATTCTGCAACAAATGCATACAGGACCACAATATATTGGCTATAATATATTTTTATTATGCTGTGGTGAAACATATTCGGTCATCTCTGCATGCTATACAGCAATGAGAAACATAGTTCAGAGGAGTCCAAGGAAACAGATTCCAGGTAGGAATGCAACACCCCACAGTGACGTTGACTCTCTGTAATTCATATCTTCCCGGGAGATATGATCAGACTGCACATCACTGGACCTGTTAGATGATCCATGATATCCAAGAACATCCTTTAAGATCACAAAGGTCTCTGAGGGTCTTCGTTAATAATGTGACTTTAATTACCTTGTGTTCTGTGATGACATCCTTTATTGTTGAATCCGGCTGAGGCTAGGTTTCACTGAATATCGCATGGCAGAAACCTTGGTGATGTGAAGGCTTTTCCAAATATCAGGTTCTCCTGACACTCAAATTGTAAATTGGAGACTAGAGACATTTTTAGAGTCAATTTAAGCAACCTAAAAAAAGGCCACAAGATGGACATATTTTTGCAATTATCATGAAGGCATTGATGGTGCACATTTACGACTACATGTCCACTTTGATTAACGTGCAAATGAATCCTTTACTGTCAATGCCTCATCAATATCGTTCTCTTTTTTATCACTAGATGTGTTTAGAAGTTATTTATTCCTACGTCCAACTTTCATGAGTGGAATTGACTTGACACCCACCTGTCAAATCAATCCAGTGGGTTTGCCAGCAACTGACCAATCAGCGGTTGCAATTTGTCCCAAAGTAAATGCCCCTTTCCTGGAGGAATTGAACCTCTCTGACAAAGTGTTCAGTTGTTTCAAAGTGATTTGGTGGAAAACGAGCGCAAAATATAGTCAAACTTTGTCAATCTCATAATCCAGAGCATGAACAGCACGGAAAACATTTTATTACATTTTCTAAAGTCAAACAGGATCTCGACAAAAGTAAAAGACATATAAATGCCTCGGGTCAATCTCATGAGCAGCTGAATACTATAGGGATTGATAGTATAACTGCAAAATGTTTGTGTGAAGGTTTTAATCATCATTACCTCATATGTTTAATGGTTAAATCAAAGATCAACATGTTTCACAAAGTATTGAAATCAATATTGATATAATTGTTATCAAATCAAATTGTGGCCTCAAAATCTACAAATGAATTGTGAGGTTCTTAGCAACACTCAACCCTAATCTTTACTAAAAGTCTTTACTCTGCAGAATGGACTAGCATGGTGTCCAAGGTCTGACTGATCACATTCACCGTCATTGTTTTCTTTCATTGCTTAAGTACATTTTTCTTAACAGAGCTTCAATAAAGTAGGTTGACTTTGATGGAGATTCCCTTTACCATTTCTTTTCAAGCAGTTCCTGATCCATTATGCTTGTATGTGATGATAGGATCTAGTTATAGTTGTACACAGGTAACCTATTTCATTCCAGTTCTCAGAATGCAATTATTTGCTATTGGTAATGCACTGAACGTCGAGAGGAAATGATACATATTCTTTCTAAATTTAAAGTACTGTTTTTTCTTTTTTTTGGGGGGGGGTGGAGGGGAGGTTCTTTTTTGCTAATCCACCTTTCAATTCCTCATTTCCTGTGATTGCAGAAGTGACCCTAATTATCTTTCGTGAGTCAGCTTTGGCATTAAAAAAAATAAATAAATCCAGTAACTAAATGGGTTTCAGCTTACTGAGAGCGACATCTTCCTCTAATGGTATAAATAATACGAGGAAGGACGCCAACAAAGTTTGTTTTATTTCCTTATCTTGTGGTGATGGTGAAGTTATCTTAAGTCTAAATGTGTGTCAACAAGCAGCTTGCAGACCAAGCACTTGAAGTCCAAGTCACAAAAAAAAGAAAGAAAAAAAATGACTGACGCATTTCCTCTTTTGTTTTGACCGTTTTGAGCTCCACCAGTTTAACACTGATCTTCCCGAAATCTGTGTTTGACTCTGAGCCTGCAAACAGTCAACCACAAACATTTCCCCGGCGGCCGCGGCCGCTTTGGTGGTGGTGGGAGGGAGGAGAAGAGGATGGGGGGGTGGGGAGGGAGACATCCGAAACCACACACACACACATGCGCGCGCACACACACACACAGAGGAAGTGAACCCGAGAGAGGAAGCACATTTCTGCTGTGCTGCCCAGATTTTTTTTCTCTCCCCTCTGTTTAAGCAGACGGATCGATGAATATCACAAAGAGGAGACAAGCTTCCAAAAAGCTGAGTCAAGGCTCACACACACAAAACAGCAAACACATTTCTGAAAGGGTTGAGGCTTGGTCCGTTCGATCTATAACCCTGCTTCATCCTGAAAGATGGTCTTTCAATGCAAAGTTCAAAAAAATCTTGTTGAGACCCTTTCTTAAACTTAAAAATCTAAAAAAAAAAAAAAAAAGACTCCCAGCACATTCAAATGGTTTTGAGGCAGGACATATGCAAAAATGTATCAGCTCGTTCTCTTGGATACTAATGCAACTGGTCACATGTACGAGGTAAAGCTTAAACATGACAAAAATTTAAGCTCTATTGGACCACGAAATACATTTGCCGTGGTCGAGGTGAGGCACTGGAAGCTGGAAACTTTGCGCCAACTGTCAAGCACGGCGGTTGCACCAACATGCTGTAGGTTTGTTTCAGTCCCATTGAATCCAAAGTGGACAGAACAGTGAAGGAGTAAGACTGTCACTGAATCGTTCACCTCCACAGCCGGGTAAGGCTGCAACTAACAATTATTTTCGTGTTCAATTAATCCATCATTAGTTAGAGTAAAGAAAAAGAAACTGGCATATTCTGCAAATTTTTCTTTAAAGTATGCAAGCCTTTTCTACACAGTACTAGAAAATAAATGAAATGATAGAAATAAGCAAATTAGTCAATTCTTTTTTTAAAAAGTATGAATATGTATGTATATTGTTATATTTACTCAGAATGCCCTTAGAAAGATAGAAGCTGTTAAAACTGCTTACAACTGGTTAGGTACAAGTAGACTGACTAAAAAAAACTACTACAGTCTGAAGAGCAAAAACAGATAAAACAATTTATATAATTTTATTACATTACACGACATAAAACTTTAATAATTAGCATGTTGAATTGTTTTAGCAGCAGTAGGAATAATCGTTGCTTTTCTGACTTTTATTTAAAGTAATTACAAAACAAAAGTCATGCATTTTGGTTTGAACAGTGAGACGTTGGGAAACCAATGTATTATATATATATATATATATATATATATATATATATATATATATATATATATATATATATATATATATATATATATATATATATATAAAGTGCAGTAGCTGGGGGAGAATAACCCTTCCCTATTGGCTGTGCACTCCCATCCATTCATAAAAAAAAAGGAAAAAAAAATCCATCCCCATCCACTCATATTCAAATTGCCAGCCACCAGAGGGTTTTTATTACAGTCGCAATACTTTAGAACACATGTGTTAAACTCAAGGCCCGGGGGCCAAATCCGGCCCGCGGAAGCTTTTTATGTGGCCCTCCACAGACTATACTAAACACTAAGTGTGATTAAATATTATATTATCAATCATATCAATGCAGTTTTTATCTGTTTACTGCCAATTTATATCAATCAGTCCCTCCAGTTTCTTGAGAATTTAGTTGATGTATGATTATAGTCCATGATTTATACAGTAAGTAAATAAACAGTCGCATTTATTATTAGTTTCTGAAGGCACTGAAAAGATGTTCAGAAATATTATGTAATTTTAAGAATTTATTGACATATTAACAATTTGTGAACAGGTTTTATCAACACATTCTGGCACAACCGGCCCTTTAAGAGCTTTCATGATATTGATTTGGCCCAAAACAAAAATGAGTTTGACACACCTGCTTTAGAAGCTTTGGTGCAAAACAATTGGAGACACCATAAACAAATGAAACACCAAGTTATAAGAGTTGGGTTACATTTTAACTTGTTGTGGTTCAGCTGCAGAACATAAATAAATGAGGACGCTGGGACATGTGAACCAGCAGCCTCAACGATTCCGACACAACTTTAACTGCTGATGGACTGAAAGCCCCCAAGGGAATGTGAGAGGAGGAGGGGAGGGGGCCAGTTTGCCACGCAATTGTAAAAATCAACGGTATACCGAGGAAAGGAAATGTCCTTAATCTAAATTAGACGACACATGTCTTACATTTGGTAGAAAACTACATTTTCCACAATAAATGTGAAGTGCTCTTCCCCATCGACATCCTGCAATGGTATGCACGCGGAGAGGCGAACCGTGTCCATGAATGGAGGAGCCGGTTCGACTCCCAGCTCAGACAAATGAATGAAGGACGCTCTCTCCAGGGAGCTGCGTCTTAAAGTGACGACCCCGAAACGGGAATAAAAGCAGGAAGAACGGAGACGTACTCACCCCGGGCGCAGCAAAATGAGTCGGTTACAAGACAGAGGCGAGGGGAGCAGCAGGTCGAAAGATTTTCCTCGGAGTGTGTCGGTGTCGGCCTCAGAGAGCACAGACGTGGTGCTGGGGAGGGGTGAGAGGAATTGAGTCCACCTCGTCTGGTTCAGTTTTACGGCTTCGAGTGATGATGGGTCAATGGTTTTTGTTGTTTTTTTTTTTTTGTTTGGTCAGAGGGAGCCGCTGCCGTGAAAGGGACACGGCTCAGGTCAGCTGTCAGTCTGAGCTCGTGGGAGATAACGGAGGAATGCTGGGTTCGGGTTTGGTCGGAATCTCTCGGAGAATCTGCGCGCGCTGAAGTCTGGTACTGTGTGACCGGCTGCCGAAACGTGGAAACGCCTTTTCCTCTCTCTCTCTCTCTCTCTCTCTCTCTCTCTCTCTCTCTCTCTCTCTCTCTCTCTCTCCCCCTCTCTCTCTCTCTCTCTCTCCCTCTCCCCCTCTCTCTCTCTCTCTCTCTCTCTGACCCTCTCTTTCTCTCTCTCTCCCTCTCTCTCTCCGTCACGGCTGAGCACGCTGTCTCGATTCATTCGGAGATTGTCTATCGTGAGCGACGCTTCACTCTGAGGGAAAAGTGTAATTTTTCATTTTGTCGATGGAAAAAATATTTTATTAGACGCGTAAATAAGAAAAGACGAATAATAATAAGTATTATAATAATAATGATTATTATAATTATTGCTACTATTATTAATATTATTTTAATGTTACTATAACAATGTTACAGGAACATTAACATTTATTTTAGATGTTTGACTTTTTATAATCATAAAAATTAAACATGAAAAATGTGTGATAAATCTAGGTCATACAGGGTTTTTTGCTTCTTTTATTGGTTTGGGAGATAAATAATTTGATTCAATTATATTCTAAATGCAGCCGTAACACTGTAAAATATTGACTCTGAACAAATATGGAGTTTAAAATTGTGCCAACTTCGCTTTGATGTTTGCCATTTCATTGTTTTGACAATAAAATTACTTGGTTAAGTTAAATTGTGTATTGGATTAAATTATGATTATAACTAATGTCAATGTGCCACCATATCGTGTCCCACTTTATGTGTGCAATATGAAGAGCACTTTTTTCACATTTCTAAGGTAAATGCCGGAGTACTTTAATTTTGTAGAAGGAATATTTCTGAATTTCTGAATGTTATGAACTTTTCAAACTATGAAAGAGTACATAGAAAACTACATTAGCCATGTTCAGTTTTCGCATTGAAAAAAAATTTTGTTTCACCTAGTATTAGCTGTTATTCATTAGCCAAGGAAATGCCAGATGCTTTCGCAGCGTAAATCAACAGAAACTCTACGCCTTAAAACTAAAGACAATAACACTCTGTAGTCGTGGGAAAGGACTCTTAAAAAATGTTATCACTGTTACCAAAGATGACAGAAAACACACAGCAAAAACCCAGTTTTCAACTTCTTTTGTTGAAAACTGGGTAAAGTGTGGGCTGAGCCAGCTTAAACATGTGTATAATGTATTGTTTTTTCCCCCAGTATAATATTTGGGTATATTTGTTTCACTGTATGTAGAACACAACGTTGGCTTGTGCTTTTGATGAAAATCCAAAACATGGGAAATTGTACTTATAAATCAACTAGGAGAGCTGCATTTTCTGCTCTAAATGTCATAAAAAATTAATTCAAGTGTTTAATTTTGATTTTATTGTTATTTCTGTCCAGCTTCAGGTTCTAATAAAAAGCAGCAGAGTGAGCCCTCTCTCACTTTGCAGCTGTCAGGTTTCACACACGCACGCACACGCGCACACACACACACACACACACTGTCACACATACACATTTTTCAAAGCTGATGTCTTCTACTCGGCCAGGCCAGGCCAGTCCCTCCTCCTGTTTCTTTTTCTCTTCATCGCATCTCCATCATTCAACACGAACTCCATTCTTTGAAAAGTTAGAGCCAGACAGCAGGAATTGTACAGCTGGGAGTTGATCCCTTCAAAATGTGGTTGAATCATTCATTGCTTTCCCTCTCCTGGCGTCCAGGAAGAAAGATCACCACGTGGTGCAATTAATACGTATGCCAACAAGGTTATACGTATCTAGAAAGGGATTAATGTAATTTAGAGGTGTGACTGAAAACAGTACACCTGCAGTTTGAAAGTCATAGAAACAACCACAAGCTCACTGTTCACATAAACCTCTGCGCTACATCTCACAGCAGCACAATTTACAAGTAGGATGTGACTTAGATTTGTGTCTATTTAAAGGGGGAGCATTATGGACTTTTCAGGCACATATTGCCATTTTACAGCACAATCAATCAACTACTTCAGTTGTCACAAAAGTGCCACATATGTCAAATCTGACTTGAAAGAAATATGACTTTGCAATTTAATGGCATCAAATTGGGTCTCTGTCTCTTTAAAAACTCCCACTCTTTCTGAAACTCCGCCTTCAGGAAGTCTTCACAACATGGCTCCTCTATTAATTCTTTAACAAAAATGCTTAGCAGCATTTCACTGAGAAGTAGCTCGTATAATGAGCTCAGCCAATGCGCAGTTCCACAAGGTGTTTGCTAACTGCTGCTGGCTAGTCTGAAGGAGCTCAATGGGGGCTTCAGGGGGCAATGGGTTCTCTGTGAGGCATAAGCTTGGAAACTGCAGCTCTGAGAAGATATTATAGGAGAAGATATAGACTTAGAGATAGAATATGAGAGGCGATTTTAAGGTTGTCATCGGACGATATTGGATTACGTCATGACAATCGCAGCCAGATAGTTGCAATGCGCTTGATGTGTTTTCGCTAACGCTGCTAATGGACCAGTTATGTCTATGTAGAAATATTTTAAGACAGCATATGCTCTACTGGTTGTGTGAAAACTGTGCCTAAATTATGAGCTTATTGAAAGGAAAATATGCTTTTAAAGACTTTACTGGTCAACCACTGAAAATACCAAAGGAGGTAAGAGACTTGATAAGAACTCTAAAGCAGTTGTAGCAAGGTTTGCATCACTGTGAAAGTTGATTCATAAAATTCAAAGAGATGAGCAAACATCAAATCAGATACCCCTTTTTGATGAATGTTTCCGCATTAGCGGATTTGTTTACAGATCCGCTAATGCAAGATGAATGAGCCACTGTTTGTCTGATTTAATGCGCAAGAAATTTCCAAAAGACTACGTCTCATGACCGTCAGTCTTTTAAAGATGCATTTATTCGTGGTAAGTGAAAGAGTTGTGACTCTGCTCTGGGTTGGTGACTCGTGATAAAGATGATCATCTAATCTCTGACCATGAATAAACCTTTTGTTGTAACCCATTTGACCCCGAGGCGACAATGAAATCCCCCCTTTTTGCCAGAAGCACACAGGCACTACACGCTCTGGTTTTGGGAAACGTTCCAAATATTTAGACTTTAGATAATGCCAAAAAGCTATACAACAACAATAAAGTTACGTAAATGCAATTTATATTTTCAGAAACGATTGTTTGGGACTTTATAAAGTATGAACCGTAGAGTTTTTTTTAAGTGGTTTCATGATTGAGTCGTGGTGGGTCTTATGATCTTACTCAATCGTCAAGGATTAACTCCTTAAATACCATATTCTAAATAATTTAAGGATCACTCAACTAAACAAAAAAAATGGACCATCACTGATAACATTAAACAAAGTCAGATTTCTGCAGCAAATAGTGGCATCTATGGGTCACCAGCCCACCAGTAACAAACATTACATATCGCATAGAATCTGAATCCTGCTTCTATGCATCACATGTTTAAGATAGGAGGGTCTTAGCGCTGTCAATCAAGCTTACGCACATCCCTGCAACCCTTCTTGTTCCCTGCTATGCAACAGCTTCTTCCTGATAGCAGAACCTGCTAAGAATGCTAACATTAGTTAGCACGGACACCGATGAAAGCCATGCTAACTTTTAGAAACGATTCTTCTAAAAGGGTTAAGTTATTTCTCTTCCGCTAGCACATTTAGCAATGTGTACACAAGCATGATTTACAGTGCCAAAACCCGCCCACTGGCTCTGGTTGGTTGTTTTAGACCGGGAGCAGTGCATTTTTCCAGATGGAAATAGTAGCTGTAGGAGCAGGTGGAGCAACTTCATTTTTTTCACAGATTATCTGACGTATAGTATCACAACATGGTGACATCTCACTTCCTGTTCTGACCAAAACTACAGTACTTACTGTACCTGAGAAACTCAACATTTTCCATTGATACCAATTGTCCATCCAGCGTAACGAAACTCACCTGTTGGTCCAGATTTAATAAAAACAACCACCAGAAATCAGCAAGCCTCTTTTTGTATGGGAACAAATAAAATATAAGCACACCCTTTCCTTTACCTTCCACTACAAAAACTAAACCATAGCCTTGTCATTAGCTGGTTTCACTGGTACAATAGGCAGACTGTTTCATTGCATGCAAATGCGCACAGTCATTTGCAAACAAGACAAAAGAGCTCTTTGGACTGACAGAGATGCAAACTCACCTTCCCGCACATCCTTCTTCCCCTGCTTATCCCATAACACTGAGCATCGGTAAATAGCAAGATATCTAAAGTTATCCAATTGTTTCTCAAAAGTTGAGAGAAACGGCTTGATAAAAATAAAAATGAGCACAAGTGTGAAGCAACAGCCTGTGTTTCTGATGGCGTGTCACATGTCAGAGGTTTAAATAGCTCTCAGTGGGAGATGGATGAGGAAGACGGTGATCTTTAGAAGCCATATGTTGTTTATCGTTTTTGTGGAGATGAAACTCAGACAAGAAAAAAAGGTTCCAAACTCTGCTTTGCTGGAGATCTTGAAAACTCTAGCCGTTTCTCCAATCTGTGAAACACATTACGTTTCTGGGAAAATTAGTCCAGTCGTCGTTTCTTTGAATGATTATTAGAAGAACCAAAACCCGGACGGCTGAGACTTCACACAAATGAGTTCAAAGAGTTGAAACAAGTGACTGGGGAGAGGGAAGTCTGGGCCTCCCTTCTTAAGCTGCTACTCCCGCGACCCGACCCCAGATAAGTGGAAGAAAATAGATGGGTGGATGGATGGATAATAATAACACAAAGATAATAAATTAAAGAATTGATTAATTAATTCACTGGGCTGTTGGAGTGTTTGACACCTCTAGTGCATCCGACACTCCACATAGACTTTGAATATAAACCAGAATCGCCTGACTCTCAAAACCTGTTTGATGTGAATGCACCATTAGAATGTTCAGCTTCAATGGTAACAATGACATCAGTAGTGATGACATCACTCTTTAATGTATCAAATTAATTTCTCTTTTAAGTGTAGCACACTTAAAAGAAACACCTGTTTCAGACTTATAAGTTATAAGTTATGAATCTTCTCCAGGAATGTTGTTAAAA